GGGCTCTTTTTGTTTTCTTTTTTCGTCGGCTATAAGCCACCTCCGTTTAAAATAAAACGTTTTTCCGACACAGGGTGAAATGTTACTTGCTTAGACGGTGCGGCACTAAATTTTAGTGAAGATTTTTGAAGTCGCCAAGAAAAGTACTGCCTAGCTGATCTCTGTATATTTTGAAAATCTTGGAACTTCAAATACAATCTTGCGCAATGTCCAATGCCAGTCGTTGTGGTTTTCTTCCCCAATAACACTTTACTTGGCTGTGCACAAAGTGAAAGATCGAATCTGTGCAGCGAATAGCTTTTAGTAACTCTTCAAACGTATTTTGTAATGAAGCGATTTTGTCACCAAGGTATCGCTTCGAAGTGCAGTACTTGTCCTCCAAGTACCCTTTTAAGGACAGTTTTCCACTTTCAGTTAATGTTGTTTCATAAGTCGTTTTATCTGAGTGGATCACATTAACAAGTATTTGTCTGTGTGATAATGATAACCACGCCTCAGTTTTTAAACTCTCTCTTAGATCTAGTCATGTACAGTTACATCTTCTTAAATTAGTCTGCTATTAGCTTTGTTGCCGGACTGACGCTCAATTGGATTGTTGATTAAATGCCAGAATTTTTCTGAAATGTTTTTTTTTTTCAACCAATTATATGTTTGATGGGCATGACATTCAAGTTCAAAGCACAAATAATTGTGTTATTAATGCAAATTCTTCTGAAGATCTTTTATATCAAGCTTTTCATCGAACAAAGCGTCTTTTCAATTCACGTGTCTTCATGAATAAAGCTTGTTTAAAGTTATGTATTAGCAGTAGTATATCTGGTCAATTTGAGCCCAGTTGTAGTCAATGGGCACAGTACTCAGGCATAAATTAGTTATATTATGATCGAAGCACGTACTTTTTAAGCTGCCATATGGTTTCTTTAATTTTATTTTTTCTTTTAACCAGTTTTAGAACTCTACGTGACGCCCGTTTACATAGCGAAAGCTCTAATTTGAAAAGCTGATGTTTTTAACACTTTGTTGTGTCGCTTTGACGGGACTCTTTTGCTCTTTTGTTGCCTTATTTTGAAGTAATGTATGCTATATAGATATAAAAATGATTGTTTTTATATACCAGTACATACAAACGTTGACAAGGCGGCTTCTTTTAAATGTGGCGGGTCTTCTAGACGCTCTTTTTGTCCCAGTTTAAACCTTTGCCAGTGGCTTCGTTGTTGTTGCTAGGCAGCTAAAGACAATCGTAGTGTTTCTCTAAAGTGCTTACTATCTTAAAGATGAGCTGTTTACACCAGCTAAAATCCGTGCRAAGACGTCCTCTTTTTYGAGCTCTTTGSCTTCAAAACACTATCATTTCATGGCGCCTTTTTAGAAACCATTTTTCAAAAGGATTATTTTTATACCAAGTCAAAACAAATCAGCTTTAGAATAGCGCTCTTGTCAGCGATACGCTTTTCTGTGTGTTGGTGTCAAATAGATGACTCTAGCTTATAGAATTCTTCTAGTGAATTCTGGTCGACCAATCAACAAGCTTTGCATCCTATCGCGTCATCTTRCGATTGAAAAAKACATTGACACTTCTAACTTCAAATGGACTTGCTAATATATCGAACCGGTAACACCCGGCGCGGTAGCTTGGATTCCACTAAACTATCATTTCCAAAACTTGAGACCTGTTGTTTTACTTTTGAAATAAAAACACATTCGATTCAAGGAGTTTTTTTTGATTCGTATATTATATTATTTACGTGAAACTTTGTGATAAGTTCTCCAAAAGATTATTAACATAATCTTCAACTTTGTATATATTGACTTGACGATTCTGTCAATACAATATTACTGATATGATTTTGAAATATTTGATCGGAAATTGTTGATCATAAAGTGATTTGAATAATGATGTTTAGATAGACTTGACAAAAATCAATCTCATAAGCCAGCCTACGTGAACTTAAANGTATATTATATTATTTACGTGAAACTTTGTGATAAGTTCTCCAAAAGATTATTAACATAATCTTCAACTTTGTATATATTGACTTGACGATTCTGTCAATACAATATTATATGATTTTGAAATATTTGATCGGAAGTTGTTGATTATAAAGTGCAGTGATTTGAATCATGATGTTTAGATAGACTTGAAAAAAATCAATCTCATAATCTAGTCTACGTGAACTTAAAATACAACCCTGTGTTGCCAGGCATTTTGCTTATCGCACAATCTGTGATACTTGGCGGATTATCAAATATGAAATACTCTTGCGATTCGATATGGTTAGAGCAAATGAACTATTCATTAATAAAATGCAAACTGGTTGTTTCCTTTTTAAAAGAGGCTTCTTTTTACGCAGCAGGAAATTTTAATATATCTGAGATTGTATCAGCTTTTTTTTCCTTTCATTTATGGTGATCACTGTTCGCGTCCACACTGTTGGTGGTCGGATTCAAATATTTTCTAAAATGGTCTCCAGATTTGACATTTTCTTAAAGACAGACTTCTGGAAAGTTGTATTTTCCGAAAAGAATGAATCTGAGAAACACAAACGTGAATTAGGTTTCTATCTGGACACGTTTTTGACGACAAAAAAGCTGGAAAATGGAATATGTATGGAAATATAAAAAAAAAAGAAAATAATAATAATAATAACAATAAATAATAAAGTGGATTTTATGTTTAATAATCATATTTTTTACGCAAGAAAGACAATAATTCGTATAGTAGATAGGAGTAATTTATATTTTCAAACTACATTGCATGGAAAAAAACTATGATTAACGCAAGAAATCTTTTTTTTTTTTAATTACTAAGGAAATTCCTGCAGTTTAA